CAGCTGTGTTTGTTAAGCATTTAGTTCTTCAATGACTTGGAAGCTTTAACTGGTTCATAATGCTGCAGCTAATTTGGTAGCTGGGAAAACTGCTTTTGAAAGTATACCTCTATTCTTAGACTGCTATACTGATAACCAAGTAGGGTTTGGGGCCTGATTCAAAATGCTAATTATCACCTCTATAGCCCTGTACAGATAGTCATCACTTATTGTCTTGTTTAGCAGTCTTTTTTAAGTTATATTGTCTTGTTTAAGTTATGATGGTGTATCCAGCTTTGAAACCAATCCTTCCATTTCCAACCATCACAGCATCCTATAGCCATGTGGTTTTCTACTTAGTGACCATTGTGGTCTGAACTGTGATCACTAAACAAGGACAATCTTGTATGGTATGGCACTGGGATATGACAGACTTTGCTTCAAACATGATTCTGCCCTTCTGCTCCAATCAGGAGAAGTCCTATTCAGAATTCTGCTTTCGAACAGATCCATGAGGCTGAGATAAGAAAAAAGGCCTGTTCAATAGCTGCCCCCATACTCTGGAATATTCTGCCCTACCTTAGATGGATGGATGACCTGTGGTTGGCTCTCCTTTTGTTTCAGAATGGCATCCGTTGTTTTAAGCCAATAGGTGTTTGTCCCACTGTCTAATTGCAGAGTGAACGTTTGTTTATCATGTTAAAGATTATATAGCATTCTTTTTCTGGTTTTGTTCTGTATTCCCCAGGTCCTACTGATTAGGGCAGCACCCAAAAATTGTTATATGATTACCTATCCACCTATATCAATGATCAGCAAAGATGTAGCTTTCATGCTTAATTCATAAACTGGAGTTTCTGGCAAAGATGTAGAATTACTGGAAAGTGAAATCAAATTATTTTGTAAACCTGAGCCTTAAATATATTGCCTAGTTATTCTTTTGGCAGTTTCGAAGCCTGACATAGCAACTATGGTGGGTGGAATTAGAACCTAGCTTGAATCAACTTGTCACACTGTTTATCATATTAGGTGGACCACATATATGTTTTTGTAATTACCCTTCATTTAGCAAGAGCAAGAGCACATAGACTTATATATTGCTTCATAGTACTTTACAGCTCTCTCTGTGGTTTACAGAGTCAGCATATTGCCCTCAACAATCTGCGTCCTCATTTTACCGACCTCAGAAGGATGGAAGTCTGAGTCAACCTTGAGCTGCTTCAGGACTGAACAGCTGGAAGTTGGCAGAATTAGCCTGCAATACTGTATGCTAATCAGTGTGCCACCATGGCTCTTATTTAATGGATTTTAATGAGTTTTGTGGAAAGAAATTTCTCTTGCTGTGCCAGTTTGTACCTGATAATGATTAACTGTACTGTCCATACCTTGAAATTTTAAGAATTTATGTTACCATATCTCCTTATCTCTTCCTGCTCTAAATACAGGGTCAATCCATTAAAACAACAATTTGGACTTTGTCTCAGTTCACATATCAAAGCTACTAAGTTTTTTTCTATGAATATTTCTGTAGTTATTTCTTACCATTAAGAATACACGTCTATCTTTATAGTTATTATAGTTGGTTTGTTTTCTTATCAGTTTTAAAGCAATTAGTTCTGTATTTCAGGTCTTCTAGTAGTGTAAACGCATGTTGAACTATCTTTGATCAACATTTTTTAATATAAGAACTATGTAACTCTCCAGCTCTTGCTTTTTGCTTCTCTGGGTGCAAGAGACTCTTGACCGCTTTGGAACTACAAACGCATTTAGATCCTCTTTAGTTATAGGCACTGAATTTGGATGAGTTTTCCATGAATCATAGAAGGAAAACAAAACCAATGTTCTTCTTTCAGGGATTTCTTCCAAGCACTTTAACCTGTATTCTAGAATTGATTGAAGTCTAGAATTTACAGCTGATTACATGAAAGTAAACTTTAGCCAAATCTTAAAGAACCAAATCTATCCTTCCACTGTGTGGTAACATATTTTATTGGTCATTTTCTGTAAGTCCTTTGTACAGCCATTTCGCATAGATCTAGGGATATGCAGGCATTCTTGGTGGGGGTAGGAGTACCTTCGCAGTGAGTGTGCCTCATCCTGTTGTGATCTGCGGGCTTAGAAGGAACAGGGAAATGGGTGAAAGTTCAAGGTACACAGCAGGGACTTTCCCATGGGACTTTCCGTGGCTGTATGTTCTCATCCTGTTGAGGTAATATCCTGTTGAGGTCATTGTTTTCTGAATATGCATTCTGTACTTTCGATTTCTTTTCCTCAATAAATACTGCTACCTGAGTTGGCTCAGGGCTGGCATTTGCTCAGACATTTTCCCTGTGTCTCATTTCAAGTGCCAGACCACCACACACTGAAACTAATTTCATCTCCAGTACAACAACTGACACATTTTGGGAACTTGGAGAACACAATGCAGGAATCTCCAGTTTCTCATGCTTTACACAGAGAATATTTGGACTACATATAGCAGATAGAAGAGCACCATTGTCACATAGACCTTTAAAATGGCAAGGAAATAGTAAACTCATCTTGTTTTTTTTTTTTTAAAAAAAAGAATTTAATGTTAAACATATTTCTCTGACATGTCCAGGGGCATATTTGGCATAAGACCTCCCCCATTTCTTGATGCTTGAAAGATCCTTAAAAGTCTTTGCTGAACTATACTCTAATTGCCATCTGTAGACTATTTTTGTTTTGTTTTGTGCAAACAAGCCCAAGGTTTGGAAATGTTGATATTTTACATCAAGGTATCTTACCATGCAATCTGTGAATAATATACTGTAAGGGATCTTATCAGAACAGTATATACCAGGGGTGTCAAACTCGCAGGCCATGGGCTGGATGCATCATGTGCTCTCCCCCCACCCCCGGGTTTAGCGAAGGAGAAAAAATACGTCATGTGATGTCACCGTGATGATGCAAGTTTGACATACGTGGTATATACATTCACTTGACTCTCAGGGAAGAAATAAAAGCATTATATTACATATTGCTCCCATGTACACAGATTTACATGACTGCTACAAAAAAATTATTCTGTGTAGAGTTTAGCAGGGTTTTTTTGATCAAGTATATTTAGGTATATTGAATCATTTATGAATCTGGAAAGCCATAGGTTTATCAGTTAAAATAGTATGTGACCATGAAATGCTTAAAACAATAAACATATGAAAAAAAACAACTTTAGAACTCATGCCCCCATCAGGTAGTATATGGAAGTATCTATAGAAAAGTTTATTACAAGTATACTTAGCCACTGCTACCACCCTAAGTAGTCAGAGGTTTTGATGCTATGGCTCCTTTGAAAGACATGCTATCTAGGCCTAGGGTAGTAATTTCCGTTGAAGAGAGAGTCATTTTCACACTATGGATTTTTCTTTCCTTTTACAGTTTAGAATACAAATGACAGCAGAGACACTCACGCTAATGTGAGATGGCCTCTAAATTCCATAGCCTCTAAAAGGATCTTTTTAGGCTGTACTCAGATAATATATTAATTTAGCCCACTCTACCCAAATAAAAAAAAAAAAATTCAGGTGTGTGGATCTCAGCAATGTCCTTGGGCAATTTTGGAGATCATGTCTGAAACTCTATAGGGCCCAAAGGTTGAAGACAATTGCATTCAAAAATGCAATTATAAAGTTGAAAGGGACCTTAGAAGTCATCTAATCGTCTCCAGCTCAGTGCATGGTTCAGCAAAGGAGGACTTATCACTTTATGTGGAAGCCCAATGTATTGACTGACAGCTGTACAAGTAGGAAATTTCTTCTGACATTTAGTCTCATTTTCCTTCCTTGTAGTTTTGACGTACTGTCTATGGTCCTGCCCCCTAAGGCATCAAATAACTTGAATCTTGTCTTCTGTGTGACAGTCCTTCAAATATCTGAAGACAGCAATCATGTCCTCACAATACTCTCTGGATTCTGTACTCAGTATAGAATTCAGATCCTGTATTCATTCCGCATAGTACTTGGTTTCCTAATCCTTCATCATTTCAACAAGACTTTTGAACTAAAATTTGTCACTGTCCATTTTGCATTGTAGTGCTCAAAAGATACAGTATTTCAAGTAATGTCCCAACCAGGACATGGTAGAGATGAATAAGTTCTTCCAATGCTTTACACTCCTGCTAATGCAACCAAAAGAGTGTTTATATTAGTCTTCTAGCCAGCGTAAGAAACAGCCTTTACACTTATACACAATGGCTGTCTTCACACAACAAAATAATGCAGGTCGCTTGGTTAGGGACTCTGCCTTCTAAATACAAGAAGTCTTTGATGTCCACAATTGAGCCCAAAATTTATGTTGTTAAGTGAGACATTTGTTAAGTGAATTTGCCCCACTTTATGACCTTTCATGCCACACTTGTTAAGTGAATCACTGCCTTAAGTTAATGATACTGTTGTTAGGTGAATCTGGCTTCCCCATTGACTGTGTGCTTGTCAGAGGATCACAAAAGGCGGTCGTATAACCTTGGGATACTGCAACTGTCATAAATATGAGTCAACTGCTGAGTCTGAATTTTGATAACGTGACCATGGGGATGCTGCAAAAGTCATAAGTGTGAAAAATGGTCATATCAACTTTCTTTCACTGCCATTGTTAACTCTGAACGGTCACTAAATGAACTGTTGTTTAAATCGAGGACTCCCTATATATTATTTTACAGCTCGGCCAGACGACTATCTCTTTCAGAGGTAGTTGTCACAGGGGAAAATTCTATGCCAGGTAATGTTCTTTAATTAGGGCTGGTATGCAGTTCGTCGAGTGAAGAATGCCGCAGGGGAAACGATTCCCAGTTCGACTCGAACCAGGAGAGCTCGAACAGCTGATTCGCTCTGACGTTTTGTTACGGCCACCTGAGCCCTAGCCTGACTTTTCAAGCCTTCCCACAAGGAGAAGATGTGCGCGTAGCTGCTTCTCCCACCTGAGCAGCGCGAACACAACAGACCCGCCCACTCTAGCCTTGCCTTCCAAATTACCCGACTGATTGGACCTTGCCGCTTGCCGTCTCTTCTTGTGGCAGACAGTAACAGGAAGCGCTGCCGGCGCCTCCGAACCCGCTGGGAGAGCGAGCCATGGAGTTCTCAGAGGAGAGGTTGCGGAAGTGGCTGAGCAAGGCAAGCGGCGAAAGTGGGAGGAGGAGGAGGAGGAGGAAGAGTTTTACAAGCGCGAGCTCGTGGAAGCTCTGATTTCGGCAACCCAATTTTGGAACACCTTTCCCTGGCTTGAAGGGAGTGGGAGCGACTGCCTGAATCCATAAATCAATGTCCCCCGTCCCCCCCCACTTGGCCGCTTTAAGGAGATGTGTGGACTCCAACTCCCAGAATTCCTCAGCTAACATGGCTGGTTGGAGGGTTTTTGGGAATTGAAGTCCACACATTTTAAAGTTCCCAAGTTTGAAAAACATTGAGCTTTCTGAAGTTGCTTGTTTTCTTGCATACGTTTCATTACCCTAACTGGGTAACGCGGTTACTAGGTAACATGTTTACTAGGTATCTAGTTACCTAGTGCTGTAGTTTGGGTAATGAAACGTCTTGCAAGAAAACAAGCAACCTCAGAGAGCACCAAGGACCCCTCATTTCAATCCTGAGCTACAAATATTCTCCTTTCTTGAAAAAAAAAATTGCATTCGATCATGCTTCCCTTGCCCTCTCCCTCTTGGTCGATTTCTTCCCGTTTGATAGTGCATAAGCTACTGGACCTGATCTTCCCTGTTCAGCCGCCCTGAAAGATGCATGTTTTTTGCAGGGTTTCCTCAACCCTGAGGCGTCAGGGTTGTTTTCCCCTTTCTGCTTCAAACGTTGGCTATTTCCTCCTCAATAATTTATATCATCAAATCATCAAATCGTCATTATTACGATGGCACAGGCATGTCTCTGCATGTCTCTTTTCTATTAAGCTGATCTCTTGAGGGACCCAGTAAGTAACACATTAATGAGGAAATAGCCTGTATTTCTGCTGAATAAATCACAATGAGGTGTGCATGTAATTCATTGTTCATGCTGCTCTTAATGGTCCCCAAATTGTAGTATGTATATATCACAGAAACAGCCTTTTTCTGCTGTGTCCTGGTGGGGTTAATTTCTCTTATCCCAAGGTGCAGTTGAGATACCCTAAAGTCCTCCCTAGCTGCTTCTTTTTTAAAATAGACTTTTCTCTTCTTAGAACTTCTCCCAAGATGGGTTGAGGCACATTGCTTGAGCATTATTATCTCCCACTTGATCCTGTGCCCTTTCTCCATGCCCACGTACTCTGTTTTGGTACCTGTGTAGCAGTCAGGAGAATGAGCCTCTATTCACAAATAACCTGACTGACTGAAGCATCGAGCTGAGTAAGGGCGTGTCACTGCACATTCACAAGCTCTTAGGCAACAGGACAGATGACTAAATTCACTGTTGTAAGCACCAACCTCATTTACCTTGCTCTGTCCGTATCATTGTAAAGAGAATGAATGGTGGTTGATTCCCTGCTTCCAAGAGGGAGGGGAAACAAATTTGAGGGCATCCGCCAATCCTTTTCCTTAATTTAGCTTGCAGTATGAAAAAACAGCTTTGTTACTATTGCTGAGTAAGGATAGAGAATAGGAGCAAAATTTATGCTGACATACTGTTCTGCCAGCTCAGAGACCTGTGGATTGCATAGCTCTCTAAGTGCTCTAAGCCTAAACCATAAACACTCTTTTATGGTTTAAGTCAGGATGATGTTTTTATATAACATACACTTTGCTATGAAAGTGTACTGCTTACTGCTGCTTGGGAAGTCTATGGTCGGAGCATGATTTGCAGCAAACATACCACAGGATTGTGTACTGAACGTTGTCATAAGGGTCTCATACAAAACAGTTTCTGCAAGAACTAGCTACAGCATTGACTTTCTCCCTATCTCAATGTGATCAGGTGTATGATGATCCCTCCCCATCTCACCTGGAGTCTCCTAATCCATTTAAGTCTATAGGTCCTCCTAAATTCTGTTAAAACATTTTAACCACATAGAGATCCTGATTTTATTATCAAATCATCCTTTCATATCCCCTTTCCCACATTCCCTAGGAATTTTGCTCAACGAAGAATGCCAGAATCCTTCTCTCTGGAACATCATTCCCCCAGAGATTAGAATGGCCCCCATTCTAATTCTCTTCCGGAAGGCACTGAAGACCTGGTTCTGCCAGGGGGCTTGGGGAACCCAGAGCGGGATGGAGCCTATTAAATGGCTCTTGCGATCTGCTGTCGCTGGGGTGGGAGATGGGGGGTGATTTTATTATATTAATTTATTTGATTCTTCTTACTGGTTTCACTTTTTTAAATGTGGTTTTATATCTTGTAAGCCGCCTTGAGCCAACACGGGCAAATAGGCAGCAATATAAATCCAATAAATAAACAAATATGTGTTCGTATTCTTTTGCAATCTGAATGGCTGTTTAGACATTTCCTTTCACATGGCCCTATAGTTCATGTTTAAGATGATCAAAACTGTCTTTCTTATGTTTCCAGTATAAATTCCGAGATCTGACCATAGAAGAACTGAAGCACATAAATGAGTTGTATCCCAACATCAGGTTCACAATGAGCACCTACAGTAAGAATTCCTATTTTGGGGATAGATATATTACAGGTAGTCCTCGGCTTACAACAGTATGCTTAGTGACTATTTGAAGTTGCAACAGCACTGAAAAAAAGTGACATGACCGTTTTTCACACTTATGACTGTTGCAGCAACCCCCTGATCATGTGATCAAAATTTGGCCGTTTGACAATTAACTCACATTTATAGTGGTTGCAGTGTCCCAGGGTCATGTGATATATTTTGCAACTTTTTGCCAGCAAAATCAATGGGGAAACCAGATTCGATTAACAACTATGTTATTAATTTAACTACTACAGTGATTCACTTAACAAATGTGGCAAGAAAAGTCATAAAATGAGCAAAACTCACTTAACAAATTTCTCATTTAGCAACATAAATGTTGGGCTCAATTGTGATCATAGGTTGAGGACTGCCTGTACCTGCATTTTTTTTTAATTCGAGAACCTTATAAATCAAATGAATGAATAAAAAGTGAAATAAATGCTGAATATTAATATTAATATATTATAGGTGGCTGTTATTTAGCCACCTGAAATATGTTCTGCATTAATAGTATAATAGTATAACATGCATATTAATAGTATAATGTATTTATTAGGAATTACACCCATTGTTTCCTTTAAATTATTTGGGCAGTGTGCATGGGATTGCAATCTTACTGTATACTTTTCTTAAATTTTCAGCAATTAATTGATCACTTTTACTATTATAACCTTTACAAGAATGGCATGGTAAAGCAAAATGTATATTTATATCCCACTATTTTTTTAATTAGCATCCTTGTAGTTTTTGAATGGATTTTCTATAGCATTATGTTGCCTCAGAAAATCTGTGTTTGTTGAATTTATTTTTTATGTCCTATTATGATACTTTGAAATTCTATGTAATTTCTATTTGTGTGTGCGTATGCGTGTGTAATGCTTTTATTTATTTTTATCCTGCATTTATTATTTGTACAAATAACTCAGGGTGACAAACATATCCAACACACCTTCAGCCTCCTATTTTCCCTACAACTGTAACCTTGTCAGGTGAATTGGCCTGAGAAAGAGGGGCTGGTCCAAAGTCATTCAGCTGGCTTTCATGGCCAAAGTGGAATTTGAACTCGTGTTCTCCCGTTTTCTACCTCATTGCATTAATACACACACAGACACACATTTAAAAAAATAATAATACAATGAATGACTGCTTTAGCTAATTTGAAATGTTAGGAACAATACATATCAGTAGTAAATTAAGACAATTTTAAAAGGAAAGATGAAATCCATAGTGATATAATGTTTTGAATTTCAGCTTTTAAGGATGGATCCCAGAAAGACCTTCTGAACTTTACTGGTACTGTTCCAGTAAAATATAAGGGTGAGTTCAAGGAATATTTCCTTTGTATTTCTTGTTATTTAAATACTTGATTCCAAATAAAATATTTTGAAATGTATTTAGATACAAAAATTATATGTTGCTTCAGTCACAGGCTGAAGTTAACAACTAGTACAATAAGCAGCTAATAAAATAAAGCAACTTTAGTAGCATATTCAGCATGGGAAGAAATACCTTAACACCCTTCCCTTCCTAGTCTGCTTACTTATGTGGATGGCTCTGATAAAATAAAAAGCATGAATTTATAGTACAGCATCATTAGTGGTCTTTCCCTCCCTTGAAGTCTGAAGTAAGAAACAAAAAGTCACATTACTTAAGCTAGACAGCCTTATGAATCTACTAAGTAACAAAAGAATGCTGACAGTTCTTAGCAATGGAGCTGGAAAAACTTTTTTTGTTTGAGTTATAATGGTGAAAATTAAGCAGCAGAAAGTGGAAAAAAAATCTGCAGCTGGCTAAGTGTGAAGCTAATAATGCAACAGTGGAAATAGAGGGAGATAAAGCAGTGTGAAGGTCAGGAGGAGATTCAACAGCAGTTAGAGTAACAGACCTGCCACAATACTATAGAAGCAGCAAAGGTTTGTGGATGGATGTTGTCCAGAAAAAGTCCATGGATGGAATCTCAAAAAAAATCAGTTCTTGGCTATAATTAGTGTAGCAGCTATCCCAGAGGTCTAGCAATAGACTTGGGAGGAGATCATGGAGCTATCAAAGAAAGGAAGAGCTATCAAAAAGGTCCATCAGAAAAGCATCATCACTTGCTGAAGATGCTACAATGCTGATGCCCCATCAAAGAAGTCCAGCAGTAGAGGCTGAAACTTCCTGGAAGAGGGCACACAATAAGAACCCCAAGGTAGAGTTGACACTGGTCCTCTTGGTTAGGTAGCATGAGTAGCAAGCTCAATTACAAACCCTAGTGGTTCAGAGCGACACTACAGGGACCCACACATTAACCCAAGCTGGAGGGGACAGCAGCATACACCCTGCCCCGCATAAAGTAGACTGAGGAAGGAAGTTTATTTCCATCCCAAATCAAATTACCCTATTCATGGGACCTGCCTAGATTTGTTATCACCTTAAACTGAATTTATAACAAATAACAGCCAGTAATTCGCTTCTGGAAGGCGCTGAAGATCTGGTTCTGCCAGTGGCCCGAGGAACCCAGAGTGGGATGGAGCCCATTAAATGGCTCTTGTGATCTGCTGTCACCAGGGCGAGGGGTGGGAGTTGGGGGTGATTTTTTTATATAGTACTATATTAATTTATTTGATTCTTTTTGTTAATTTTTATTGTTTTAAATGTGGTTTTATATTCTATAAGCCACCTTGAATCACCATGGGCAAATAGGCAGCAATATAAATTCAATAAATAAATAAAATTAATAATAATAATACCCTGATTCTACAAAAAAACTACCCTACTTGGAACAGCTTATATCCTCCGACACTACCTTAACAGTTCCTATGTCCTTGGTTAGGACTCAAGCTTTTCAGCTACCAACCATCCCCAAAGGCTGTGAATCTCACCAAAGATTAGCCATAAATAATAATAATAATAATAATAATAATAATAATAATAATAATAATAA